GGGGGGGGGGGGGTTTGAACATCTGCATAGGGGTGGGTTTAAAGGGTGTAAGATTTTTTTTGTGTGCAGACCCTGTGGAAACGGCTGGGGTAAGGCTCGGTTAGAAAGTCCTCGGTCTCCTTATTCCTTGCAACCTGGTGACTAAAAGCTCTCAAGGGAGCAGTCACTCTCAGCCCACTCGTTGCCATGGTGATTAAATGTCAATCAAGAGATGGCAGGGTTCTCTACATTAGATTTTACACCCACACTCAGTCTCACACTTCCCTTATTCAAGCTGAAAGGACTACAGCAAATAAACATAAACATACGTAGGTGGGGTTCACTGATCTTGTCATGAAAATCATCCAAGCCGAAAAGGAATCAAATTTTTTTTTTTTTCGTTTTACACAGCAGGAAATAAAACATTCAGTGCACTTGAAAATGATGTATTCACCTCATTTTACATCAGATACTTTCCTCAGATTTAATTTCACACATAACTTTATTTCATTACTACCCTCTTCTTTATCTTTATCTTTCCAGAAAATATATATGTATATATATATTCCTGTCTCCTGTCTCTCCGTTTTTCAATATTTTCCATTTACTACTCCCTCGTCTTCCTCTCTCTTTGTTTCTGTGGCTGAGACAGTGTTGTTGAGTCTCAGTGGGGCTGAGCGAAAGTGACCTCGCAATCGACTGCTAATAGAACTGTCATCGCCTGCTGCCCGCCAAAGCCCACCAGGGTAGGTCTGGGAAAAGATGCACAGGAATGAGACACAGAGAGAGAGAAAATAAAGAAATAACTGTATGAGCAGGAATGTGAGAGAAGACGGCAAAGGGGGGGAGGAAAAAAGAAAAAAACGATAGAGGCCCTGGAGGAGAGAAAGCAGTAAAAATGTAAAGCATCAGACAGAGTGGAAAGCAAACAGAAGGATGGCAGACGAGCACAGTGAGACGAAACTTATGTCGGTGGGTGAGCAGGAGCAGAGTGGGTTGCACAGGCAGACTGCTCAGACTACCGTGAGTCACCGAGGTCATCCTGTGACAAGGCTGTACACTGTAGCATCACGGTCAGCAGGTCAGACAGGTGGATGTCCGTGAGCAGACAATGTTTTCTACCTCACTGGACACAACAGAGTGCACATGGGTGCCCCTGCCACAGTGCATTGTAAAAAAAAAAATATATATATATATATATAAGCATATTCACCTAGATACGTGTATTGTTGTTGTCTTAGTCTTCATCAACAATACATCACAAAATGCCAGTCAAATTCTGTACTGGGATGTCCTTCCTTTTCATTTTCTGCTGATAGTTAAAGGTTCTGTGGGTGGAGCTACATTCATTTAAAGGGTCTGTTGACCCAGATTACAAAAATATCTGTCTATTTGTTTTTTTCTCACATTTCTCATAGTTTCTCATACACGCTGGGTTAGGTGAGTGAGTTCCAATCTGCCACTAAATCTTACAAAGTTTGATCATATCTGAACAATCTTTCTGCTTATGTTCCTCGAGCCAATCAGCCCTGGAATGCAGTTATTTAAATATCACTGAGATCCTGTCATTCTGTCTTTAAGAACACCAGCATGTAGATTTCACAGGCTCTTGTTCTCACATAGACCCACTTCTAATGAAGATGCCTCCCATTGAGTCCAATCACCAAAGCCTTCCTCTGTTGCTAACCTTATTCCCCTGATTTCTTATTTTTGAAATATATTCTGATGAAAAATGTAGAGAGACGGGTTGTGCTTTTGGTTCTTCATTTCTCTACGCATGGCTGGAGCTGAGTTGGTTTTAGATGAAAGCAGAGTGCAGCCACTGTTCAGCAGCACTGGTGCAACTGGTCAGTGCTGGACTCCACTATAAATCTAGGTCACAGTTTGCAGCAGGACATTACCTCATTAACAGTTCTCAATACACACAGCTCTCAGACTACAGGCCATAGACAGTAAAATATGTATGTCAAACCAAAAAATGGAGAGTAGGAAACTTGCAGTAAGAGGTTCTAAAACATCGGACTGTTTGGTTCCACTTTATTTGGATAGTCCACCTACAGATAGCTTATTTGAAACAATAAATTAGCTTATTAGTTGAGATTCAACAACTGTTTTCTGAAATTACACCACTGTTTGGTTAGGTTTAGGCACAAAAAACATCTTGTTTAGGGTGTGGTCATGTAACACTCGTAATTTAAGGAAACAGGAGGAAAACTAAACCTCATGAGTCAGATTTTGCCAAGACCTCTGTGACCAAATCATCTCGCTGCTGTCAAACTTTAAAAATTGTTCCTTTCTCAGCTGCTCTCAGCTGTCTTTTCAGTGACCCACTGATGTGAACCACCGCCACTTTCCAGTTTTCATCAACATCAGCGGTGCAATGGGTCCTTCCAGTGAGCTCATCAGGAATCCTGCTTCAGATCGCATCCACTCAGATTTTCTGCTTGGCTTGTTGTTCACTCTTTCACCACCACCCTGAAAATGAGGACGTCTAAGGCCTCCACGACATCAGCATCTAATTACAATTTGTAGACATTCACAAGGAGGTACACAACATACATTAGGGTTTACAGTGTCAAAATAAGGCAGGGGTGAAGATATATCACTTTGGGGGATGTTTTAAGTTAAAAGTGTTTGTTGAGTAATGTTTTTTTTTTACTAAAATTATGTGAAATATCAGTATACAAATCAGGATGTAGAGAGTTTACACACATTTTACAAAACACAGCAGACTGTAGACATTCCAAAAGTCACCCCAGTTTTCCTGTGAATCATACAAAATATCTAAAGACTCAGAAACTTTATCTCAGCAGCTTTATTTACAGATCGCGTGCTCTCTACCAAACACCGCTACAATCAGTTCCCCAGCAGTTCTGACACCTGGAAAATTAAATGTCAGATTTTTTGTTGTAATTCTGATGGGCAGATGCTGTACAAAGAGCTAATTAAAACTGTACAGGGAGTTCAGCAGCAAATAATTAATTGCATTATTACTGTACTGTCAGATTGTCTATTTAATAATTCTCACTATAGAACAAATGAATTCAGAGTCTCTCTCAAAAAGCAGCAGCATTTTCACAACCTCATACTCAACTTCCACTGCAGCACGATCTCTTCATCCTCTCTCTGTCTTTGTCTTTCTCTCCTTCAATCACACACACACACACACACACACACACATACAAACAGTATTTTCTCTACTCTGGTATTTCTTCTCTATTGCACACAGATTTATAAAGAAAAAACTACAAGCTTTGATGTGAGGCATGTTAAGGACTGGTTGGACATTTTGAGCAACCTTAAGCAAATGAATGTTTTGGCTCAATTAATTTCACAGTGTCTCTGGCAAGGACAGGTGTAAATGAAACCTGACACATCAAATCATCATCAACAGTCCAAATCCAGGAAGGGGAAGGCATAAACACACTAGCAAGCTAGCATGTACACAGGGACACACACTGTCAGCTGAAGTGTGAAAATGACTGTACAGCATTAGCAGCATTTGGCTTGGTATGTCCATGTAACAGGTATGTGCAACTATGCAGGTGGTGGAGTCATACATTGGCAGAAACTTCACACGCAACACATTATTATTGAAGACATCATATATATGGGAATTATGTCATGATAGATAATGTAATATAATGTAATTGCAAGTTGTCTTAAATGGTTTAAAATGACACTTAAATTGTGATTATAGACTCTGTAATTGAGCCTTTGTAAATGTCCAAAATGCCCACTTGAGCTGTTCAACTCAACCATTTATTTGATGTGTGCTTTTATAGGTCCAACTGCAAATATACAAAAAATACATGGACTGGTCTGTTCTCTTTAGGCACAAAAGCTGCCCCTACACAAATCATAAATAATCATTCAGTCTATTGAACAAGATTTATTCAAAAAATACAGTATAAATAAATCATAACCATTATGATTTTTCTCACAGAAGCCACTGAAATTTCCATCATCGAGATCATGTCTTCTTTATTTTGGTTGGATGTTGAAGTTTAAGCAGCCTGTGCATTTTTGGTAGAAATCAGGTGTGAAAAATATTATGATAAATGACTACATCCATGTATATTTTGAAATGTAGCCCTCCTATTCCCTTATGTCAGATCCTGTGTTGTATCTGGCCTTATACATAATATTGTAATATTTTGGTTTAAAGAAAATTGGCCCATATTTGAGCTATAAAATAAAGTTAACATTTGGAAAAACAATGTCACAACAAGGGTCACTACTTTAGGGCTACTCATCCATGTTGGCTTAAAAGTTGAGATTGAAAGTTCATTCTTGACCTTGGAAACTGCACAGAACTTTAAAAGTAAACATGGACCATGAGTCTTGAAAACGTTAATTTTAACATCTATTCTAACTGTTGTCTGTAACTGTTTTATCAACTTCTTTTTCCAAGGTCAAGAATGAACTTTTAATCACAAAATCAACACACAAACATAACGGAATATATGTGAAAGTATAGACCCCTGCTTTCCTCACACCTATGCTCATAACATTTACATAAAAATTACTTTATACTCACTTTATAGGACATATCTGGAAATGATCAAATTGTAAAACCAGAAGGCTACTGGTTAGTCAAATAACACTTAAATATATAACTAATATAGCCTGTACCAATATAAATGTTCTAAAGTATAATCAGCTGACAATATATCAGCCATATATATTTTTTACATAAACACATACATAAACCAAAAAAATCTTTTGATGAGAAGAAAAACATTTGATCATTAAATAACTGTAACCAAGTTACTGTATATGGTGAACAAATAAATGTGTCACTTCTAATCTCATATATATTGGTCCAGCTAATGTTGTAGTCTAGCTGTGATAAAAGACATATTCAAGGCCTAATAAGGACATGGGTCCTGGATGAGTATTTCAGAAATACTATAGTGTTTGCCCTGTTTACACTGACGAGAAAATAAAGGTTGTAATGGTATAAGGTCACCTTCCATGGCTATACTGATAAATTAGCTCAAATGCATTTTTTGCTGAGGTGGAGAGAGGTTCAAGGACAGTGAGGGACTTTCAGCCAATCCTTCCTAAATACCTAGGAGGTGCCCGATGTCTCAATGAGAAAACTACCTAAAAGTCTAATTTGGGGTGAAAATGCTCCAGGGGCAAACTGCAATACTGTAGGAGCATAAACTCATCACAGTGCAGATTTTATGTCTGCTGTCAGCCTGTGGTGCATGACGGTGCTGCATATTGCTCCATGTTTTGTTACATTCACTTGTCTTCAAAAAGCAGAGATTTGTGCCCAGTGGGGAGGTGAGAGAGAGGAGAACTCGACCATGCCAAAACAGACAAAGACCAGTCTGGAATCTCTTGTGGCAGTGAGGGAAAAATGCCAGACAGGATAAAATAAAAAATAAACAACCTTCTCTTTCTTGGACCTAAATGGTTTGGGAAAAGCCTCAAAGTCCTTCACAGAAAACACAATATCAAAAAAATCCCAAATAAATCAATAAACAGACACTCAAACATTTGACAGTACTTTTTGATTTTGTATTCCCAAAGACCTTTCTCCTTGGTACAGACAAAAAGAATTCCTGTGCTGTTTTTTCTTTGCCTAGCACTCGGATAAATGTTAAGCTTATTTCAAAAGGCTCCATGATTAAACATCCCGCTAATCTTGGCGCGTTCTACATAAAACTCCACAGAGCATAAATCCATTTATTGCTAAATGTGAGCAGAGGCAAACATAGAAAGAGGGGTTGCTGTTAATTTTCAGGTCTGAAATTGCAACTTTATGAAGACGGGAAGCGTGTTTGCCTGTCACTACTCATTGAGGTTAAAAATGTGTAAATTAGCAATATGGCTCATCAGGCTGCTGCATGTGGATGAGTAAAAGAGAGAGAGATAGAGAGAAAGAGAGACAGAGAGAGAGACTGTGTGTAAGTGAGTTTGTTTGGTTTGTGTGTCCTTGAGTCTAAGAACCACTGTAAATACATTATAGCAAATAGTTTTTACTTAAATAAAGCTTAGATGCAAACCATTTGTGTTTCTTATATGAATTATAATAGCTAAATGTGTTAGGTAAATAAAATCAACAGCTCTAGCTTTGAAAGGGATATTTATGGTCTACTTTTACTTGTTTCTTCCAAACCTGTAATCCATATGGACGCAAGGGAGTCGCAGTGGCAGTTTTTAAACTGTTATGTCCCTTAAAGGAATACTGGACTAATCCACTCAGACACGGTGGCTGAAAATATCTCACTGACTCCATTTCATCCTGAAACCACTGCAGTAGAAGTATAAAGTGGAATAATGTTCATCCACATCTTGGGCACAGATTGACAAGTCATATAAATATAAATACATATTGTTGTTATCTATAAAGGTGTATATTGTATCACTGAGGAAATTGCTGTAAATGGTGTATGTATGCACTACTGTCTCCATAAACTATCATGTTTGGTCTTCAGCATCTTTATTAAATGGTGTGCCACAAGGGTCAAATATTAGCCCAATCCAGTTCTCTGTGTACACAATGTTTTGATAGCTCTTATCATTTTTTATGCCGATGACACACAGCTGTATTTTCTATTTTCTGTTATGCATAATTATTTAACTCTAACTGGCCCGCCTGCATGAAATGATAAATCCATTGAATTACATCCTTCTTTCAGCCTAAAGATTTGGTTCCAAGGTGTTTGTTGTTATAACAACCTCCATAACAACCTCTTACAAAGTGCAAGCACTTAAAATAAATCTTAAAACTGATTGCTTTTTTGGATTAGTGTTGATTTTATACCTTTCATTTTGTGGGTTTTACACTTAATTCTGTGTGTTTTCATATTGCCTCTCAGTGTACAGGACTTCATAATTTCTGTCTTTAAAAGTGCTATGGATAACGTTTGCTTGCTTGCTATACATTTTTCTTTCAAATGACTTCCACTCCTCTAATTCTTGGATCTATATATGTAATAATCTAATTAACACCATATATTTCTGAGCCGAACATCATGGCAAAGCATCAGATGTTTTACACTACACCATATTTGATGCGTCAAGGGCTTCTCAACACCCATTGTAGCATAAGGCAAAAGAACATTCACACCTCCTGTGCATGCATTCCCACACAACTCACACATTTGCATACATACATGCATAGATACACATTTACATAGATACAGTATAAGTGAGAGGCAGGTGGCTGAAGTTTTCTTGTATGTGTATGTACATATATAAGGGGTAGTGACATAAGAGGGACATTAGTGAGCTCTTGTTGCTTTTGCCTGAACACACAAACATACTGACCACAATGTATTTAAAAATCCTGCAAGGCCTGAAGCATACAGGCTGTTGTTGATAAGTATTCACTCTGAGGGCAAACAGGGAGTGAGGATGCAGTGGAAAGAAAACAAGAGATAAGAGAAGAAAAAGAGTGATAGAGGCAAGGAGGGAAGAGAAGTGGGAAATAAAAGGAAAGGAAAAATAGAGCAAATACAAATAGAAACAGAGATAGACGGGGACATGAAGAGGCACAAGAGTCAGAGAAGAGACAGAAAAAATAACCAGGAAGCAAGGAAAATAGGTCTGAGTTTCAACATCTGAAGCGCACTTGTTCCATTCCATTCCCTGTCAGGCCTGAAGAGCTGGTGATATGTGACATCTAACTGATCACTGTTGGACTCCTGAGCTGATGACCTCTCTGCTGTGATGCTCTCGGGTCCACCTCAAGAACCCAATTTAGCTCTCCTGGCTCACCACGGTCACCTGAAGAAAGGAAAAAGCCACCCAGCCACAAACATAAGGAAGAGAGGAAAGGACACACAAAGAACAGTGATGGACTGCTGAGCAGGAGGCCTGAATATGGGCTGTCCTAAATATGATGAGGCCCTTAACATTATGTGGGCCAGATCAGATCTTAGAGGAAATGTCACATGTGACACAAAAATGATGCAAGGATGCAAGCCAAAGCATGTAATAGATCCGCCTATCCACTAGAGGATATCGTGTCAGTGTCACGTGAAAAGTAGGAGCATGTATGAAGTTGCAGTACCAGTAGTAGTATAAGGAGCAACAAAGTCTGCATTTGGAGGAGATGGGGTGGATGAATGGCTCAAACACACACAGCAACGTTGATTTGGCCAGGCACGATCTTTTCCAAAACCTAACCAAACTGCAACCTCAGCAAGCTTTATTTTGAAAGTGTAAGTGGACATTTCATATGCATTTGGGCCGAAACAATTCCTCAAGTAACCCCGAGTAACCTGGTTACTAAAAAGCATTGATTTGTTTAATCCATGAAACTACACACAGCCATACTACACACTGATTTGGTTTATTACTGTCACACAATGCGCTTTGGAAGAGAGACAAAATAGCAAGGAGAAGAAAATGGCCAAAGTTTGGGTTAATTTCAAGCTGAAACAAAACGAAAAACTCTGTGCAGTGTATCTGCTGTCAAACTCAACTAGCATAGCACAATAGCATGACATCAGTGACTCACTGTGTAAAGCTACTTAGCGGCTACAAGTCGTTGTTTTTCCGTGGGAAAAAATCAAGAGAGAAAACCCAATCAATCATCTAATTGCGTGCAACTTCAAGGTCTGCAGCTCTGAAACTTCCGGTTTAGGCTTTTTTAATTTTTTGATTTGTTGCTGCTGACTAGCCAACTAGCTGTCCACAGTCTGGACTCAACAGTATAAGAAGACTCACACACAACCCACAGCTTTTCAGTGACTATGACACTGCAACCTGAGCTTGTCTACACACATTATGGTCGACTAACTTTAACTACTCCTCACACGCAGTTAGACTGTTAGGCTGTGGGTGTGCTAACCAGAGGTGGAGGAAGGATCAGATCATTTACTTAAGTAAAACTACTAATACTCCACTTTGAAAATACTCCACTACAGATACAACTGAAGCATTTCCCTCCTAGAGGAAACACTGAAATATCTTTTTTTCTCTGTTGTATATTTACAATTGCTCTGTTGCTACTATTATTACATATTAGCACGGTGACGCCCTGCTTGGTGAGCTGAGACGGCATGCACACTCTGCACAACCGCACTGATTTTGTGAAAAAAGTGTGCTCCTTTGACTTTGCATGCAGCGTATCTTCATATAGCTCATTTCTCAGTGAGTGTAACAGCTCACTAAGCAGGGTATCACCATGCAAATATGAGACTGAGAAGAGAGACGACTGCGAAACCTTGCAAGTGTGACACTGTGAGAGTGAGAGAACTAACGGGGCTGTTCAATTATTTATAAGCAGAGATTGTCTGTTTATCAAACTGACGCCTGGAGCGTCGACCATGATTAGACTCAAACAATGGTGGTCTTCTCTGAGCAGTGCTGATGCAGCTTCCAAGACACAGCCCAGATATGAATAAAACGGACAGCATCAAAAAGAAATGGGAACTGTGTGTGTGTGTGTGTGTGTGAAATCAAGATTATGATAAAAGCAAATGCATTAACACACAGTATCCTTATGTCAGCTCACAACAACATCGTAGTGTTTTTTTTATAAACTATGCAATAATTGTTTATATACTTCTTATAAATGGGTGATGGAAAATAAAGTGTTACGAGGTTCATGCTGTTGGGTTTATTGTTAGGAGTTATCCCATATATTGCTACAACACGATTGATCTTATTTAACTGCAACGAACACCAAAGTATTCACGTGTGCTACTAAATATACCACTTCAGTTAAAACTTATTGGAATTATCAGGACTTATATTTGTATTTTTCTGCTCTTTTTTTCCAAATTTGCCCCAATGCCAATGACCCTCATACTGTAGTCATGTGACTCCTCCAGTACACACAGAGTGGCGTGCCACTTTTTTTTCACCTGACAGCAAGGGGTTCATGCAGAGTCTCCAAAGACCCCACACCCCTCTGCCCCAACAAAATAACAAAACACTGAGATCCCTCACTGGCTTCCCACTCAGAAAACGTAGACCTCCCTGAGCAGCAAAAGCCAAGGATTTATCCAAATCTCTGTGATTGCAAAAATGCTGTTTAACCCCTGTCCCACCCAGGCTTTATTGCATTCATCTTTCATTTTATTGTTTATTTTCTTTTGCATGTAAAGCACATTGTAGCCTCACAAATGTTATAAAAATCGAGTTTAATTTAATTTTAATTAAATGTAAGTCCAGTATTTACTCTATTTTTGTCCTTGGTTTGGGTTACCAGAACCAAGGACAAGGGTGAGAAAAGATTTTGGGTCCGTTCTTCCTTAATATTTGGCATTCTTCACCTGCCACTTGTTTTCTTCCACACAGGTTGTGTACAACCAGCTTATATGATCTCCTGGGCTGAGTGCACCTTCCCACAGTTGTATGTGAACATTGTTTTGACTTCCAAATTAAAAAGTGGATGAAAGCAGCACAGCATTGCATTGTGAGGTGTCGATCTTCAGCGGTATCTGCAGTGCCAAATCCTTTCACAATAAAGGAGTAATTTGATTCACTGGTAATATCAACATATTATTTAATGCACCTTGAAAGAGCCTTCAAATGTTGGTTATAGCCTCTCCTGTTGCAGCATTTTGTATTGATTTTTGACAATTCTATTGTTTGTGGTCTTTTTAACAGAGCATAAATAAGTGCCCGTGAGAAGCTGCGAATCCAAAGAAATGGCATGTAGTGTGAGAGGAGGGCCATTAAGCCACAGGTTGACTCATGAACCGAGGTGTAACACTTTCCTGCAGAAAAGAGACGTTTTGTCAGAGAGAAGTGAAGGGACGGCGGAATGTGGGAGATCTGAAAATGGGCTCTGTAGGGAGTAAGAGATGGCTGGTATGGCAGGATAAGGAAAGCAAGGAGGGAGGAAGTGTTCAGTTGTAATGGGGCAGGAGCCAGATGCTCCAGTTTCCTTGACAGAAATGGAGGTCAAGTGCAGCTTTATGTGAAGGCAACACAAGGAGAGAGGCATAGACATAAAGAGAAAGATGGAGGAGAGGGAGCTAGCATGATGACTTTAACTAGTGGTGAGGGACACAGTGTTTGAGCTCACGGTGTAGAAAGCCTGGTCCTTCTAACTATAGCAAATAAGGAGGAGGATAAGACAGCACAGAGGAACACACAGTGTGGTGTCTCCTTCCAGGATGGATGGAGGGGGATAAAAGGCTTTATGAGGAGCCTAAGAACATTAATAGGTGTAAGTGATAGGGAGGGATAAAAATAAAAACATATGTTAACTTCGCAGGGAGGACAGATGGTAATGTGGTGGCTTTAGCTTATGAAGAGCACTAATGGATAGAGAGAGTATATGGGGAGAACACATGATGATCTCAAATAGTACATTTGGGAGTGCAGGCCTCACCTATTTCAGGAGAAAGGGAAGCATAAATATATATTAGGAATACAACTATTAGGCTGGGGACTCCGGATGAAAAATAGCCTTTGTGTGTGAGCGTTTCAACTCGCACTGGATATCCTTTGGGCCCAGGTAATGATTTTCTGTGAGTAGAATATGCAGTGGACTAATGTGAAAAAATATACTTCACACAACATGCACAATGTGTTTGTTGTGAGTGCTTACGAACAAACTCAAAAGGAAAAGTTGCAACGGGGCAGATTTAGGTTTTTGTTTCGAGGAGAATGGAAATAATAGTCAGCTGTAGGGAGGATTGAGAATTGAACTGGTGCAGCCAATAAAATTGCCAAACAGAACTAGGCACACACCACATTGAACAAACAACAGACTTCAAAGTCA